GGCAGTCAGTGGAGAATGCAACGGAGGCGACAGGGCCAGTGTGACCCTCCAGTTTCTGCAGCTCCTTCCCGGTGGACGCGTCCCAGATGCGCACCGACCTGTCGTACGAGCCCGAGACTACGCGCTGGCAGTCAGTGGAGAACGCAACGGAGACGACAGGGCCAGTGTGGCCCTCCAGTTTTTGCAGTGAGTCCTTCCTGGTGGACGCGTCCCAGATGCGCACAGACTCGTCCCCCGAGCCCGAGACTACACGCTGGCAGTCAGTGGAGAACGCAACGGAGGCGACAGGGCGAACGTGGCCCTCCAGTTTCTGCAGCTCCGTCCCGGTGGACGCATCCCAGATGCGCACCGACTCGTCGTACGAGCCAGACACCACGCGCTGGTCATCAGAGGAGAACGCAACGGAGGTGACAGGGCGAACGTGGCCCTCCAGTTTCTGCAGCTCCGTCCCGGTGGACGTGTCCCAGATGCGCACCGACTCGTCGTACGAGCCAGACACCACGCGCTGGCCGTCAGTGGAGAACGCAATGGAGGTGACAGGGCGAACGTGGCCCTTCAGTTTCTGCAGCTCCGTCCCGGTGGACGCGTCCCAGATGCCCACCGAGTTGTCGTACGAGCCCGAGACCACGCGCTGGCCATCAGTGGAGAAAGCAACGGAGGTGACAGGGGCAGTGTGGCCCTCCAGTTTCTGCAGCTCCTCCCCGGTGGACGCGTCCCAGATGCCCACCGACTTGTCGTATGAGCCCGACACCACGCGCTGGCTGTCAGTGGAGAACGCAATGGAGGCGACAGGGCCAGCGTGGCCCTCCAGTTTCTGCAACTGCTTCCCGGTGGACGCGTCCCAGATGCGCACCGACTTGTCGTATGAGCCCGAGACTACGCGCTGGCCGTCAGGGGAGAACGCAACGGAGGTGACAAGGCCAGTGTGGCCCTTCAGTTTCTGCAGCTCCTTCCCGGTGGAAGCGTCCCAGATGCGCACCGAGTCGTCCGAGCCCGAGACGACACGCTGAGCATCAGCGGAGAAGGCGATGGATTGCACTCGAGACCCAACATCAATTTTTGTGAGGACACCACCATGGTTACTGATTCCGGCGAAGCGCAGGTATGGCAAACCAGGAAAGCCTGCCCTCCACTCATGCGGTATCTCTGAATTTGAACCAAACTCTGCTGCCAAACTCGAGATGTACAGATGTGGTGTCGATAGCGATGCAGGTGTCTGTAGAAATGACTTGACAAGCCTTGAGACCGCCGTCAAACCTAGCTGCAGCTCAGTCTTGCCTTCGAATTGTTGCTGTATCAATATCATCAGCGAAGAATTTTCATGAACCAGAACAAAATAGCTCACTATCTTGGTCACCCATTTCATGACCATATTCATTCCATTGTAGCAAGCCATCTTAGCAGAAAGCAGATTCATGACTTCAATCCAGAATAGCACCTTCTCTGATTGACTGAATGTCAACAGTTGGTGCAAGAGACGAGGGGCTGCGCTCGCAGTTGATACCTTCATCAGGTGTGATGGCCAGTACTGACATGCATATCCCAGACCTATGACATTGGTTATGTTTTTGGTGATGGACTGATCGAGCTCCTTAACCTCGGAGTCAAAAAGGTAGGATGATGGGAGACTGCATATATTGAACCGGAGGGAGTGTTTCATGATTCGAAAGCACCCTTGAGCAAGGACATGATGACTAGCATCCGGTCGGCATCTCATCTCCGGGCCACAGCGCTGCTCGTCCAAAAGGTAGTCAGAGAATGATTTGTGGTATGTATATATGCGATCATTGGAGATGTATGCGACGGCGTAAAGATTGTCGACAAGCAGCCGAACATCCTCTGCATCAACATCAGCGGAGGCATTGGACATAAGGCTTGCGATTTCAAGGATGGAGAGGGGTTGAATAGCACATAGAATGACATGGAGAGCAGTAAGTCGGAAGCTGCTGATCTCGTGCGCATGGTCGATTCGGATAGACTCGTCAATGATGTCCGAATAGATTTTATCGATGGGCAAGCGGGACTCGCCTCGTAGTGGGCTGGCATTCTTCTCCTGCAGGATCACAGAAATTCGCTTAGCCTTTCGCTTCGTAGAAAGGTCGCGACGGGATATCAAACGAACTACTGTGGCAGCATAGATGAACAGGCCGTTCGAAAGATCTGCAAGGCCTTCTAGCTCGCCTCGATATGAGGTCCCAAGTTCTGGAAAGCTGCCGACGAGAAAGCTCATGACGTCTTCTCGGCCAGTCTGCTCGTCGATGTCCTCCAAGTGGTAGATGGCTTCGGGTGATAGTGACTTGGCCATATTGACTATGGTGGGATGAGGACGACTTGTCACGAGAATCTTGAGACCACGCATACGACTAGGACCTGCTTCTGCCATCATCTCCATAAGTGATTGTAGCAGTTTCGTACCGCCATCTTCTTCAATCTCATCAAGTGCATCAATCACGATGAGAGTGGGGGGAAGATCATCAGAACGGTCTTTCGATGATGACCGCCACGGATGAACCAGTAAGCGACTGATATGTTTGTCCGAGTTGTGAATAAAATCATGATCGGTGTCGCGAAGAGCGGTTGCGAATGATGACGAACATTTCGCGAGCTGGTATACCACAGTGGGCACGATGTTCCCCAGATGTCGCAAACTGCCAACCTGGCGGGAGCAGAAAAAGGAGGCACCGAGACCACAGGAGATTTCACTAGAGTCAAAAGATCGACAGACGGTATATGCGATGGTGGACTTCCCCATCCCCGCCCTACCGCTGAGCCAGAAGATGGGAGGAGATGATGGAGAATTGTCATTAGCCCAAGCATGAATGCGCTGTAAGACCTCGATACGCGTGCCTTCTGTGCACGGACCACGCTTTGGAGTGTCGTTTGCGGTGTCCGAATCATACATGGCAGTTGGCGCACGGAGCCACTCTTTGCGCTCGATGCTCTGCGATAGTAATAAGTATCGACCCAGTTGCCGCAAATGAGTGATCTTACCTCGAGCAATTTACGAATCAATTTTGTATCCCGCTCGATGGCCAGGGAAAGATTGACCTGACGTTGGATTAGATAGCGGTTCTAAGGTTGTCTTACTGAGCTGACGTACGGAGAGGTGCTTCGTCCTTTGACCGAGCTCCTTCATTGCTTCATCGACCATCACCTGGTAATGTTCGATGTCAATTGTTTTCTTCCACCACGATGTCTGCTGTATATGATACACATGTTGCGCCTTGGATATCAGATAACTGTCGAGAACGTTAGCCTCGACCCCAATAGTCTCGCAGATATGGAGGAACTGAGGCACCTAACAAAGGTATCAATCCTGGTAAGAGAGTCCACATCCTCCGTCTCCCCGATTGCCCGCTCCATAATGTCGAGCAGGCGTGCGAGGTCCTCGAATGCTTTATCGGCGCTATCATTCATGTCTTTGACATTCTGTGTATATAATTATATGAATAAACGAGATACGTTGGGTTCAGCGACGAGACGTACTTCAACAACCTCCGCAATAGCCGTGAAAACTGCGATGGGCGTCTTGAAGGGTGTGCCTTCCAAGAGGGGTTCAATTCTTCTCGCGAGGCGTACGAAACCTTTCAAGGCACGTGCCGCTCTTTGAGAGGCGCGGGAGTGAACCTGTGTTACTTTGATCTCGTCGATGGCATTGGTTGGCTTCGAGGAAAAGTCCTCAGTCTCAGGGACGGCATCACCTGTTGATCAGGTGATCAATAGAGATCGCTGGTTCAGACAGACTCTACACCGCACCTATTGATGTCGTGGGTTGACGCAAGGTGACATCGATAGGGACCAACATTGTTGTATCAGGCGTGGGATTCTCTGCGCGATGGGCTGGGTTGGGTGATTGTTTTCGGCTCTTTGGAAGAAAAGTATATAGAAAGCGTTCGCGCAATCCAGGGCTAGTCGAATGGAAATGGTGAGTTAGGATCAAGAAAGGCTGTTAAGAAGAAGAGGACGAGATGTTCAGAGCATACCTTGTAGCGCCCGGCAGCAGGTCGTCTGGACGAGGGCTCAGGCCGGATTCGGAGGTTGAGTTTTGTTCTTGATCGCGACCGCGACGCCGACCGAAGATATTACGAGGGCCAGAGGGACGTGTGTTGGAAGACATTGTGAAGAGCCGTCTGGTGGATGCTTGTTAGAAGGGAGAAGACGGCTGCGACAGGGTGCAGGGTAAGTAGTGGGGCTTTGGGACAGCCACAAGACATACGCGTGGTCAGCTTTCCCAGCCTATGAAGAGCTCGAGACGAATATAGCATAAGTACTTCCATCTTAGAGCCGCGGTAGGACAAGACGCGATTATATTAGGTGGCTGACAAAGCAAGACCGGAGTAGACTACTTCGCCACTGCACAGCACTACAAAGTCTTTCAACGCGGTGATATAAGGTGCGGCAAAACAGGCTCAAAAGAGGGGGAAACAGATTCCGATTAAAGTGTATGCATATAAGTAGCTACGCAGATGAAGGGATGGATTAGTTGGCCCTCCGCGGCGGCAGCATCACGCGAGCACTCTTTCGACCAACTTTCGACTAGCGTGTCAGGCTTACATAGCTTCGGTCCAAGAACTGTCCTAAGACGGGTGTGGATGAGTTATAAAATCGCTAAGGAGGTTTCTATGCCGCAGGCATTGCTACTATAGAGCAATGAACACGAAGGCAGGTCATACAGATGTGAACGCGCATGCGAGGAAAAACGTACATAGACTAAGCTTGCAACAGTAGTGTTCAGTGTTGAGTTCGAGTTCATAGAGACCCCGGACTAGGTTTGCAGCCATATTTTGCACTACAGATGATGATCGCTGAGTTTACAACATCGAGGATCACGGCGACGGTGTATGACATTTGAAGAATGGCAAGGTGGAAAAGACGAAATAAGGGGAAATGAGAGTGTCTACTAATGTCGCAAATAGCCTGAGCAGCGTGTAAACGAAAACTAGCAATGGCCCCACGTACCGTTCCCTCAAGCCGTCTGAAGGCAGTACAAACTCAGTCACCATCCGGGCAAGCAGAGCAGCCAGGTTGCATGGTCTTATGGGTGTCCTGCGGACTCATGGCTCCAGGCCGCACCAGACAACTAGCGAGGGTGATACTGGTGTAGGCAACATGGCGAGAACGAGGTTTGGTATAGACTATGAGAATATGTTAGGATCCAACATGACGTTATACGGGCATTAAAAACGTACAATCTCTACTCTTTCCATCGCCCTAGTATATCAGCTACCAACGTGCCCATGTGCCGCCCGCGGTCTCCAACTCACCGGAAAATATAGAGTTCTCTGCCATGCCTCCACCTCGACGCAGTCGTGTGCGATAAGTAAGTATCGGCGTCGCCGCTTGCATTGCTATGTCGCCCATCCCATCCCATCCCATCCCATCCCACCCTGCCCGTCCCACTTCCTTCGTATTTCAATCAATGCATGAGCTCTCGATCCTTCTCCCACGCCCTTGAGGATCGCAAATTGTGACGACTGAAGCTCTGTCCACGAGAAGAAGCAGGAGGAACCGAGACGTTAGGCGGTATAGTTGTGGAGGACTGCGACTACAAGAGTCCATTAGCGTTTTGTGCGTTGGTAGAAAAGGGGGGGCGGGAAAGAACAACGCACCTTTCATTGGACCTTAACTGCATATGAACAAATGCTCACATAGCCCTTCGCATGCCATACAACGAACAATATCGGCTCAGTCGATCACCCGCTCGTAGTAGCCATCTCCTGACTTCTCTCTCTCTCTCTACGCAGCCTAAATTCTGAGGAGCCAGGTTGGTGTTCGAGTAAGTCTGAGGATATAGAGAAAATATAATGTTAGAGCATGAAGGAAGAAGATGAAACATACTTGGATGATATCTCTAGTAGACGTGATGTTCCCCATGCACGGCGTGACGTGGATGACGAGGAAGGGCTTCATTCAATCTTAGACGCAACAATGGATGAGGAAAATAATCGGAACACACATCAACGCCCCTCGTGAACTTGATGGTCGGGGCATGTCGAGGCCCTGTAGGTGAATGCAGCTCGACAAGTTCTTGACGGCGACCAGAGCGGCCATGAGAAGTGCGGGCCAAGTATGTGATAATCGCCAATCCGTAGAAAAACTTGAGAAGACTAGTCGGATGTAAAAAGGACAAGCTTAGACTAGCGTGATAAAATATGACCTATGAAGACTGTGGGATAGAGACGGCGACGGTACGGTAGTACAAAGACATGTCGAGTGGAAACTTCTGGGGAATGCTGACTGTAGTGAGGCCGAGATGGCATCGACCCTCACAGTTAAATGGGATTGATTTGCCATCGTGCCTTTGCTGCTACTGAGGTAAAAGGGCGGTATGTGATGTATCTGTTTTCGATGATGATTCTTCGGGGTGAGCCATTTCGTTTCGTTTGATGACTAATACAGGCCATGGTGGCTGGTGGCGGTGGCAAAAGTTGCTGCAGGTTGAGATCAACTCGATGTCAGCGATTCGAGTGTCTATCATCATCTTGTCTTCTGTCCGACACGACCGGTACACTTTGGCGCAGACATTTTCTGATTGGATCTTCCTGGTATCTCTACAGAGATTATCCTCACACTATTCGTTCTCTTTCTGGTTCACACCGACATCAAGTTGCCGACATCGGTGTCGCACCAATAGTATCGAGCGTGTGCCTTTCGAAGATGATGAAGATCACGTCGCCTTCGCATTACAGCGCTTTCAGAAATTATGCGGAATCGTAAACTTCGCGAATTCGCTCCAGCCACAGGCCAGCCGACGGAGCGAGCTTCGGCACGGCTCTCTCCGGGCCATCGCGACTGTGGCCCAACTGCAAATATGCATCCATGAGCACACAGTTGAGACAATGAAGTGACTCCAGTGAGTAAACGCAGTCGCCTACATTTATTCTTTATGCGGGATATTTTTTGGCGAGTTCAGGGGCTCTCGAGTCGCCAGTAAGACTTCGAAAGAACACAAACTTGCCTGACACCATCCATTATAAGTATATTGTCACTGGTCATTTCCCCAAAGAGTCACCTCCTCTGTATCCCATAACACCAAGAACATATTTGAAAGTCATGTTATGCTTGATACATGTAGTAAAAAATCTGAATAGCAGCCCAGTTAGCCAGCATGGGGTGTGGGCCACATGACGAGGCCGCTCGCTCGCCACTGCCGGACCCGGGAGATGCCCCAGCCGGGACACGCGCCGCCGGCTGGCCTGTGGCTGAGGCGAAATCGCGAAACGCGCGATTCCGCATACTTTCTGAAAGCGCTGTAAGAAAAACGGACACTGGTAGTAGAGCCGAAAGAGGTTAGAATTAGAGCATGCCTCTCAATGTGAGAATTTCATACGTAGGTGGGTGTGGAGCGCGAGCGCTGGCACGCTGAAGACGTGTGGCCAGCCACCCACGATGATCGTATTTGGGCAACGCGACTCTGCGAAAGTAGGAAGGATCAACTTGTTATGTTTCTTAGAGTAGAACGCGCTATACCATATACAGTCGCCATCAACATAATACGTCGTAAAGAGCAAAAACTGTCATGCCCTGGCATAAGTCGAAATATCATTTTCACGTTCCAACCCAAAGAGACCAACCCCTGCATCGATGTGAGCGCCCGGCTGGACCGCCTCACCCAGCACCCTCTCCGCCATCTTCCAATTCTCCTGCGGTCCGCCCTCCCACTGCCACTGCCACCTCTTTACGACCTCCTCGCTCCACCTCTTCCTCCGTGCTTCTCTCGCCCCTTCCATCTCGGCGTCAGCCCTATCCCCGGTCCGAGTCCCATCGCGCTCATTCCTGCCGACATTCGTATCAACGTCACGGTACGGTTTGAAGTGGCTATTTGGCCCAGGACAATCGAACTCCGTCAGGCAGCCGAGCTCACGCGACCGGAGGACGAGAGAATTCACGGTTCGTAGTCGGACGGCTTCGTAAACTAATAAAGCGAGGCCTGCGCGCTTGCGGTTCGTGAGAGGATGCGTGAGAAGGCGACCGAGGATGTATGCGTCCTGATCAAAATTGTGAATCGACGCTCAGTAGTACAGCCGCTCTAAGAAGATGTACCTCGATTGCCTGACTGGCTCCGGAGGCGAAATGTGGCTCCATAGCATGTGCCTGTACAGAACCAGGTCGCGGGTCAGCGATTTGAACCGTTATGTTCTCGGTAAAAGGTGTTGGACTTACAGCGTCACCTATGATTGCCACATTGCTCATGACCAGTCTGGGTAGTTGGCCGAGGGAGTGTACTGCTTGGTCTTTAGCTGGGCCTTCGACACACTGGGAGGCACTATGAGACACTCGTAGCAAGGAGGGTGAAAAGACGGGCGAGCTCACTTACATCCAAAAGAGCTTGAACTTCGGGCTCCCAACCGCGATACCGCTCGCGAAGTTTCTCGGAGGGTACAAGACGCTCAGCGTTTCCGGAGAAAATACGCCCAAATGCATTCGGGATGGTGTAGAAAGCAGCGATATCTACTGCGTTACTATTCGGGACAGGAAAGGTGTTGATATGCTAGGATGGTCAACGGTAGTCTTAGCTGGGCACTTTGTGGAGGAAGGAACATAAATCTGCACCTTTCCCTTGCCGCAGTACTTTTGTAGTAGTTCTTAGTAAAGTCCACAATAAATATGGGAAAACGAACGACTTACAACCATAGGCGTACTAAGCGCCGGGTGATCTCGCCATGTCGCGTTCAGTCGGTCCTTTTGAACTAGTGTACGACACATAATGCCCCCAGTCCATCGTGGCTCTGTCCTCTCATACAACTCCGTCTTAGACAGCCTCGACCAGCCGCTAGCGACAAAGTTAGAAAACAAAGAATCGCGGACAGTGGAGTGGACACCGTCTGCGCCGATGAGAACGTCTGCTGTAGCCGTGGCACCACCAGCAAATTCGAGACAGAGATAACCATCGGGCGGCAGAGGAAATAGTCTGCTGGTGGACCGAGACGTAGATGGATAACACGAGGTTAATGGATGTGAGGTACGGATTGTGCATGCGGGTGGTGGTGGCAGGGCCCTAAGAAGGGCATCAATGAGGACGGAATGAGGAACGAATAGCGGCGTGGCTGTACGCATTTCCCGTCGTGCGATGAGCAAGGAAGCCTCACACATAAGTATACAACTCACAAGCATCGCGCATCTCGAACAAGTCAGCACCGTCTGGGGTATCTGCTTGTCGATAGTGGAGCATGGACCCTGTGATAGAGCATGTCAATATGGGGTCAGTTGGCAGATAGAGAATCGGGTGTCAACCTTTTGCTGATGGCGAAGAAGGAGCATGCATTCTTCGCAGAATGCCCTCCAGGACGCCTAGTCGCTTGAGCAGCTCGCGGATCCGCGTGCAATTGTGCACTCTTGTATCTGACGCCGATACTTCAGGCTTTGCTTCGTAGACGTCGATGACAACTGGAAAGTCTGCTGTCCTAAATCGTGCTAGTGTCAGCGCGAGAGCAAGGCCCCCAGGGCCAGCGCCACTGAAAAGTGAGGGTGTAAGGCAAGATTCGGATGCAGAACATTATTTAAGAGACTATGTTCACCAAATCGCCACTCGGAGTTTCCGAGTAGTAGAGGAGTGCATCTAATACCTGGTCAATAGTGTGTCGTGAGACAGCACCAGCAGCGGTAGGGAACAAACGAGAACGTCTTTATACGAACTCTAGCGCTAGGTATACAGGTCACTATATATACCGAGGAGTGTGCTGAATACGCATACCTCGTACCGGCGGGCTACGGGTGTTGGGCGTCTTTCATCGTTCCCGAGGGATCTCGATTTTGAGATGCCATGTAGCCAAACGAGGTCTGCTTCATCCCGACCTTGCATGTAAACCCAAACAGGAAATTCAGGCCGCCGAATTGTCGATCCTGGTAGATGAACATGGAGAAGTGCCATTGCACGGCCGCCGAGTTATCACGACGCGAGGCTCCGAAATGACCAGCCGCATACACACTCGTCCCAAGTTTAACTCTTCCGTGAGTGCACTTACACTGTCATGGCTGAACTGAGAGAACAGCTCTGCTTCGTTCAACGCATGTAGAGCGTCTTTGGAAGAGTCGGGAGAAACTCAGGACTACCCGGCATCCAAGTTATAGACGATGTCGACACGGGAAGCACCGAGCATGCCACAGGGCCACACTGTGTGCGAAGCGCGGCCGCCGACGTCAAATCCTGAGATCAGCAGGCGCAGTCTCCGATTAAAAATGTCTTTGTGCGTTTTCATACGGGCTGGGACGCCACAAAGCACGACATAGACGATCCGACTCGGAGTCATGCTGGTAGGATTTCTCTGGTATCGCACAACAGCGCAACAGCGCAACAGAGGGCAGTTCATTGTGATGTGGCGTACCCATGGATGGCGAGGGTGTGCTTTGTAGGCGATCCCCCTGTCTACTATTATTCCGGTCCAAAGCGTCATTGATCATAATATCAGCCTTACTTGATTGGTTGATAATATTATGTCTCAAGCTTCGGCCTGCGAAATATTGCCATGGACCGGATCAGAGCACAAAAGTTGAAAGGATTGCTACTGTGAGAGAGCCATAAGACTACGATAATCGGTCAGATTATCGGTGCACTGAGCATCGTACCCACGGGCAGTGAACGAAATGTGAGCCATCCACGCATGCAGCACGAACTCCGAGCTGGGAGATCAAGTCAGATTACAACGACGGCTGTCTGCGTATTGCACTTGCTGCCCAGTTCATCATAACGGAGCGTAGGAATGGACATAGATAAGTACTTATGGCGGTAGTACCAACATCTACCAATGGGCGAGCTAGACCAGCTCATATGAGGTAGTCGCTATAAATCGTTGTGGCCATCCAAAAGCCTATGCAAGGGAAACTGTACGTCATATGTGTCTACCCTGAGGCACAAAAGAGGTATCGAAAGTGCGGTGACCTACCTCCAGAACACCGTTCTATTCCTGTTTGTGATTGCGACAACATAGCGGTCCTCGGGCCTACGAATATGCAGAGATGTCGTGATAGCGGCGCCCGGCGATTTTTAAGCTATAGGCCATGGGTGCGACTGGTCCGCGCTACGAGACAAAGCCTGAATTAGATGGGCACCGTCAAGCTTCCAATGGGTCTTGAATGGCTTATGAGGATACGAGTGAAGCTGCAACCAGAAAAATTTGAACGTACATTAAATTTGCGGAAAAATACATATTAGTGCCGACTGACCTGGTCCAACGAACCTACTTATCAAGCGATAGAGACATCGCTAGGGACAGGATCAGATAGACGTGCCGCGTGAAGCACAAGGGCTGCACGCGTTCGAATTCGTTGGCCTTTTCTACCTCTGTTGATGTGATCGGCTTGACGTCGGCCATACTGTATGAAGTTGATATGATGAGTTGCTCACCGTAAGTGGGAGTGTACATAGAATGAATCGAGGCGACGACTCAGAGTCGGACTAGAATGTTGGACTGGGCCACACTCGGGCTGATCCATAACAGTAGTATATGTGTAGTTTGGGAGCCGCAAGCCTTTCAGGTGATGAAGAGGGCTTGTTGTGTATAGACATGCCCTTGATAGTCGGATGCCAAACTGTTCTCAGTAACTAGCATCGAGCGGCAGCCCGAAAGACGAGGATCAGGATGTCGAGAGACACCGGTGCAAATTGGTGTGGGAACAAAATTGTATCGGAGTTTTAAAGACATACTTCATCATTCGTGGCCCGCCTGTGCCCGCTTTCTGTTATGGTTTGCACCGATTTTGCAGCGCTCCCTCCGCTTTCTTCATGCTTGCCCTCATATCTGTTTCTCCTTACCGAAAGTCATGAATGCCTCATTAGTGCTAAATTTCCAAATAAATACTTTTCATCCACCATCCTCCTTGGTTGCCAATCGGTCACGAACGGCTTGGGGGCCTCCCGTCCTTGCTTTCTCCATTCGTATTTTTACATGATAGATGTCCTCTTCGTAGTATATGCAGTCCTTGTACACATAGCACTTGTTCAACTTGTCACTTACAGCAAATGCATTTGAGACGCCACCAAGTGGCCGCCAGAGTGCTTCGGGAATATCCGGATTTTGGTACTCCGTGTGGCCCCGGTGGGCGCTCCTTGCTTCTCCCTCAATCGTCCAACTTGAAGATGGCACACACATTCAAGATGCACTCTGGACTGTGGCCTCGATCTTCTACTCGCCACAACTTAACGCTCTAGTGTCATTGAAGTCTTTGCTCGACTTTCGACCAGGAAAAACTGCTTGATTGGATGCTGTGGGGCGAGTTCGGGAACCTTCGGTGATCTTCGACGGCATTCTCGTCTTTTCTTGGGTTGCTCAAGATCCGTCCTTGTGTTCTCAGAGAACGTGCTGACGGCTGTCCGGGATGGCTCGCATGACTGCTGGTTTCATGATGCTCTCGGCGACTTCTGGAACGTTCATGACGATGTAAAGCTCAGTACGTATATAATCCGGCCGAGGACCTGCGTTTCCCTCATCGTTTACCACCAAAGACACCCCAGATCCCAGTATTTTCTCTCATCTCTCTCCATCAAAACTCTCAATCACTCCTCTCACAAACACACAAACGCACTCTTGAAATACCAAGCACCATGTCCATCGCACGCCAACTCTTCCGCGAGTTCCGCCCCTTCTTCCAGATGCTCGACGAGCCATTCGGTCGGCAGATCTCCCGCTCTAGCTACCCGCACCCTCGCTCTGTCTTCGACGACCCTTTCTTTAATGCACCTATGCAGGCACGTCCTGCAGTCGACGTTGCAGAGGAAGGGAGCAACTACATCGTGGAGGCGGAGCTGCCGGGGGTGAAGAAGGAGGATGTGGATGTCAGGATTGGGGATGGTGGAAGGAGCGTGACCATCGAGGGGAAGATTATTCGGAGGGGCGGAGATAGCGAACCATCCCAGTTGGACGCTTCCACTTCCGCCTCTGCCTCTGCTTCCGCTGAATCGACTACTGACCCCGCCACTTCAGGTAAGTCATTCCATACTGCTCATCCATCGTATCGGAACGGGCCGCATTGACACCTTGCTCTTATCTAGATGCGAACGCAAAAGCAGTCACCACTCAACAACCAAACCAACTCTCTGTCGAGCGCTCCTTCACTGGTAGCTCGACATTCACCCGCACTGTGTATCTTCCCCGCCCAGTAGATCCGAATCGAGTCTCGGCGAAGCTGGCAGACGGTGTCTTGACTCTCAGTATCCCGAAGGCGGAGGAGGTTGGAAGCGTGAAGGTCAACATTGACTGAACGTTGATCGTTGCTTTCTTTTTACATCGGTCTTTGACTCGAGCTTTCGCTACTGTACCATATATCACCCATTGCACCCTTTCGACCTATCGTCCTGTAGCATTACTGTCACTACTACTGTACCCTCACATTCAATAGTATGGAATCTCCGCTCATTGTGCGTTCATTCGAGGTGAAAACCGTAGTTAACCATACCACACTGCTGATTGATGCACGCTTCACTACCCAAACAAAAGTATACGCCACATTCGAAAAATTTCATCCTCCCCTTTTGCTTCTCTGATTCGAACCATCGACCTGTCCTCAAGCGCTCGATGTTGTATTATAAGAAATCACGGTGGAGGCAGTGCACAAAACCTATACGTCGATGAAGTACCGAAGCTTACTAGTCAGAAAGCTATCCTTCAAATCAGTGAGAGAAACGAAAGCAATCCTACCTCGTTTGGATAGATGTTAGTGCACTCGGCATTCACATTCGGATTATTCGCCAACAACGTGCTATCAGCAATGCCAGCCGTAGCAGCGATAGAAGCGCATGAGTCCCCACTGGTGATAACGGCGGTGCTCGTGCAGTCCTGGCCTGTGAGACCAAGGCAGAGAGTCTATCACAGGGGAAAAGGGGATTGAGGCGTCGATATCTGAGCAAAGCCCGCAAAGGATGTGGCAACGTATGTATACGTACCTCGCCAGGGAATAGATTTGAGCAGTCGGCGTTTATTTCCGGGTTGGCTGCCGCCAGCTGGTAGCTGTAAGGACGAAAGTCAAGATACTTCAGGAAGACAGGAAGCAGGAATGGGCCCATGCGAACGTGGAGGAGTTGTGCACCACTGAAATGGCATCACATATATCGCCCGTCACCACAGTGTAAATACGCGCACAGTCGGACTGGGCGTAGACAGCAAGAGCGAAAGGAAGGATAGACAGGAGGGAGAACATGGTGAACAATGGTAGGAAAAGGATCGAGGACTGGCAATGAACTGGAAGGCTGCGAGTTGATGCAAAATGGACTGCTGGATTCATCTGTTTATATACCTTGAGGCCATTGCGCGCTGAAGGCAATAAAAATGCAAGCCGAGGAGAAACTACCTCTCCGGGGGTATGCTCAGTCCATTTTCCGAGTCATAAGATCTATGCGAGTGATGCATCATACGAGAACGAGTAAGAGTATACTTTGCGGAAATGATTTCCGGAAAGGACGCGGTCAGTGTATGCCTTCAGGAGAAAGCAAAGGGCGTGTGCCTTGAGAATCTTGATAGAATACTTTTCAGGAGTGATGCAACTACTAGAGAGAGTGGAAGTAGGGAGGATATTCCCGTTGACTCGCCTGCATCAACCGGTGCAAGAGCCCCACGACCATACCAATTACCGAACAAAACTCACGAGCTGCATTGTTTTCATCCCGACTATTCAACCGTGTCGAAAAAAAATGATAGTCAGTATGGAAGAGAACATTCGTGCTCGTACACTCGTTACCAGTCACCCAGGGTAGGCGCTCGGGCGTACCTCTGTTGGTATAGAGGCGCCCTTCGTGGCGTTAAAGCGTCATACTGACTCTGAAACTCTGGAAAACGCGCAGGTCCGACACCAAGCCTGATCCCGGGGATGAATAGCAATATATCAGCATCAGTTTTCCCACTGAACCAGCAGTGGAACAACGTACTTATGAGGCACAGTCAGACGGGAAAGAAGGAAATCTGACGAGGTTATAAATAATCCACCGAGGGTTATGTAGAGTGTCGACTTATGCAACTATGAACAGTTGCAACCTAGACTCTGGACAGATATACGGGCATATCAACATCATTACCCAAACAGTCACTTGTATAGCGATGGAATAAATACAGGCTTGGGGTTCAAGAACGGAAATCTGCTCACCCTGACAACTCTAGATCTGCCGTTTGCAGCTGTGGATATCGAGGATGCTACAGCCTGCTGTGACTCTAGATGAGGGCTTTGGAGTTGGCCTGTGCATGATGAAAAGCGCCTCTACGTAACTGCAATCGGAGTTGAGAATATGTATTCAGCGATTCAAAGCTCGTGGAAGGGAGGAAGGAAGGCAACTCCCAACAACACAGAGTGTTAAGCATAATTTATCTCAAGTATAAGGGAAGATATATTGAATAGATATGAGTCGAAAGAGAACAAGCAGGACCCTCCTGCGAAAATCACAGAAAACAAGTAATACAGATGTGACCTTCCGAAACCTCATGCGAGGTAAGTCCTTTCTACCGGCCCAGAAATAGAGGGTGCTTCGCTATGCTCCATTCTCTCCTCATCTATCTGTGATTTACCCATTTTATCTGCCCGATTTGCGGCAGCGACATCGAATTCTGACATGACGACTTTGTCGCCAAAGTCAGCTGCAATCATTTCGAGCGTCTTGCCTTTCGTCCTGTAAAGCGAATCAGATAGCATTTAGTCCGTGGTGATAGCAAAGGTATAGATAAAAAAAAATAGGCTTACTCGGGGAAGAAAAGGAAAACGCATATCGTGGATATGAAAGTCGTTACTACGAACACATCTGTGCGTTGATGAAATGTAAGTTTGTCGGACAGGAATGATGTGGTATCAGGAGGAGGATGGAAAGACGTACAGTAGTAGTTTTCTCCAATGTTAGCAAATGCGCTAGGACCGGCCTCGGTGAGAGCAATATTCCAAATGAAATGCGAGAACGATGCTGCTCCAGTCCTAGAAAGCCAAGATCGTATTAGCAAACCATGAAGAGTGGAAATGAATCAGGTCGGACGGACACTTTGCTACGCAAGAAGATTGGCAGGATCTCCACACCGTAAAGCCATGTAGTACTGTTTATTCCGAGATCTGTGTGCACGGGGAGTATGAGGGAAGAGCATGCGCAAAAAATATGCGGAAGACGTACAATAGATGCTCGTGTAGAGATAGATTCCTAAGATGGCAAAACCTTTGCCGACTTTATTGTCCGAGTTGGTGAAAAACCTCGCCACTAGTTTCGGAACAGCTTCATCAATGGATGGACGGTAGGCAGTTTTGAAGAAGGGACATACTGAGCGCAGAGTAGACCAAGTCGATGCAAAGTCCCATAGCACCAAATCCAAGGAGTTTTACACGACCGAAGCGGTCGATCAGACGAAGCTATGATCATTTATGGTTAGTAAGATCCACACATCCCTTAGAGATTGATGCAGAAAGACTCACCGAGACGATGTTGATGAGAACGCCAAGGGTACCATAGATACCAGAGAGCAATAATACATCATTTCCTGTGATACCGAGTTTTGCGTACAGCGTCGTCTGATAATAGTCTTCGAAGATGATCAGCATATGTTGGAAATCCAAGCGATGACGATACAAAGGACGTACTGATAACATTGACACCGGTGAGGGATGTCATGGTCTGTGTGGCGATGGCAATGATCACACGCCTCTTATATTTGCTCCAAGCCTCCTTGAAGCTGGAGAGCTCAGTGGACTAGAACGAGACACGAAAATATTTAGTCCAACGAGGAATTTAACCATCGAGAGACCATCCCACCTTCTCGTACATAATCTGATCTCGCATATCGGTAAACTCCTTGTGACACGACGGCTATACCAGCCCACTGAGTCTCAGCATCTCTAATCCACTACAAAAACCAAATAGAACACTCACGCCGTCGAGATCCCCTCTAATTTTCGTGAAAGCTGCTTTTGCTTCCTCATCACGTCCGTTACGAATGAGCCACCGTGGCGATTCCGGAAGGAAGAAAATCAAGCCTATTAGAAGGATGACGCCAGGAGGGATTTGGAGAGCAAGAGGGAATCGCCATTGGAAGGCACCGTTGGAGGCGTGTGCACATGCGAATCCGATCCAGTTTGCTGTCGTTTTTGGGGTTAGAGAAACTGAATAACGTCTAGGCGTTGAAATGCATACCTAAGAAACCACCGATACCGATCATGTACCCTGAAAGACCACCGATAAGACCACGATGTTCTGGCGGACTGAAAGAACAGAGGGGAGCATAAGTCGATGATAGAGCAGAATGCAAGGACAAGTAGGTGACGACTGACGCTATCTCAGAGTTGTAGATTGGGACCGTTCCGACGAGACCACCGCTGAGCAACGACGCTGCGTTCAGAACATAAGACATCAAGATCAAACGGAAATACATACACAGCGACACCCGTTAAGATACGTCCGACCAAGAACATGGGGAAGTTCTGTGCTGCAGTCTGGATGACGGTACCAACAGTGACCTGTGAGGAGTTCGCTCAATATAATGAACAAACTAAATGAAACTGCTGGGGTCCCGAGATATGAGACGTACGACAAGACAAAGCATTCCCATGAAACGTTTCCTTCCGAGTCTATCTCCCAAAACTGATTGCAATATAGCACCGATGGTCTCTCCAGCGATGTAGGTGGATACGATAGCTCCCGTCGCAGCAGAACCGGGATTGCCCATATCTGAGGAAGACAATGTCAGTTCGATTCCAGAATTGTATGGGATAACGTACAATCTTTGAAGCTTTGGTGTGCAATACTCGTCGTGATGATACCCGTGTCATAACTGTTATGAAGTCAACTTAGTAAAGAGGCCCACTGAGTCAAAAGAAAGATACACGTACCCGAACAAGAAAGACCCTACGGTTGAGCGGTGTCAGTATCGAGTTCCGAGTCAGCGCGATATAGACCAGAAAGCACTCACCCAACCCCGCAAACAAACCCAACGCGACAACATAGAACCTCATGATGATGATGAAGGTCGAGGAAGTCGAAGACTTTCGTAAAGAGACTCTCCTCGCCCTCCGCGTCCATCCAAATCGTCTGTCTTATATTCGCTGCCTTCACCTGCCAGGCACATGTCCATCCTTCGCCAAGTTCCAACTGCTTCACAGGTCCGGTGCCCCGCACTGTCATGAAATAGGAAACATGCTTAAACGTTGAACAGTTGTGGGGGCGGGGCTTTGCGGGGCGGACCGAGAAAGACGGGACGAAAACAACCTCGTTGAGCGGGGTCAACTGGGGAAGCGGGGGGATGACTCGGCACCATAGCTGCGAACGTCCGTGAGTCCGTGCCGTGGGCTGCAACTTCCAATAGCCAGCGTTTTATGCAGAGAAAACAGTTGCCAATGTTCCGGAACAATGTTGTGTGTAGGGATGTCACGGTATGCAGTCGGACGGAAGTGCGGATCGCGTTCCGGACTGAACGCATTCGTTCACGCCTTATAACAACCCTCGCACGAAGGAGATGAAGCTCTCACGACCGAGCGAACGACGCAGACGACGAATATGCCTTTCGAAATCCCTCTGCGAAACAAGCTGAATGCTGGCGAGAAAGCGGCTGGTGCATGGCTCACTCTTCCGAGGTGAGCAGGATTCGTTTCCGTCTGAACCTGAGCGTACACATCCATCTGATGTTATGGGCTGTAGTACTGCTATCGCACGAACAATAGCCCGTACAAACAACATCTCATGGGTGCTGATTGACGCAGGTACGAGGGCAGAGTACTCACTGAGTATAATCCCAATCTGATCTTGGACGTGGCTCGTAGAGCATGGCTTGATAACCGGTGTGTAGCCGAACGCCACTTCACCGCTGCTGTAACACTCATCAGCCACCTCAGACTCCCAATTTTACGACCTCACCAACGCCATCGCCTCTTCCGGAGCATCTCCTCTGATTCGTGTCCCAGCAGAAGAACCGTGGCTCATCAAGGTAGATATCAGTCGCAATCTCCGTCCTTTTCTCATCAGTGACTGACTGAGCGCCACACCACCCTCGCCACCGTGGCACAGCGAGCTCTCGACTCTGGCGCCCATGGTCTCATGGTCCCAATGGCCAATAACGCCGTACGTTCACCTCTCTCCAAACACGACACCGACCCAAAGATCATGAACTAATGAACACCCGTCCATGACCACCGAATACGTTCGTCACCTCACAGGAACTCGTCCGCAAGGTCGTCCTCGCCACAAAATACCCACCAGTAGGCATCCGTGGTTTCGGTCCTATGTACACGCACGCAGCGGGCGCACTGGGAGGTGACTACAAAGCCCGCGCGAACGAAGACCTCGTCATTGCCGTGCAGATCGAACATCCTCAGGCCGTCGAGGAGATTGACCAGATTTGTGCCACGGGGATCGACGTCGCTTTCGTATGTCCCTCTACCTCCCTCATCCTTCCTATCTTCGCTCGCAGGATAGGTGCGGTGGTAGATTGAGTTTGTGGCTGGTACTGATGAGAAGGTGTGTTTGTAGATCGGACCATTCGACCTTGCGTTGTCAATGGGCGTCGAGTTTGGGAGTGAGGCGCATGAGGCGGCTATCGCTAAGATTCTCGCCTCAGCGAAGAAGGCAGGCAAGACCGCTGCGATCTTCTGTGCGTCTGCTTTCTCTGTCTGCTCTTTCTCCCCGGCCCTCCTCTCCCGTTCTATCCACCCACTCTTTGACCATGAGAGATCTGTTCCTGACCCTCGGCCATTGCCATCATTATAACTCTAGGCCTAACCGGTGAACAAGCCGCAAAACGGTTCGCCCAGGGATTCGACATGGTCAGCGTCACGACGGACATCGACACCATCACGGACGGCTTCGCGGCTGCTTTGAACACTGCGACGGGAAGCTCGGTGGAGGGCGTGAAGGGGTATAATACGAAGTAGGCGGCGGTCTGTAAATTGGGCTGGCAGAGAAATGTATATTAGTTGTATGGATAAAGAACTGCAGACTCAGAAGGACGAAGTGGCTGCTGTGGCACGACAAAAACTCATCTGGAACGACTCCGGCCTTTCGCACCGAACATATGCAGAATATCCGAGGACATACGCATGTTTTGCTTGGTATTGATATGTGATGCAACCGCAACAGCTAGGTAGAGATCTACCCGCATCCATGATTAGACGCACGTTGGGCAAGGCACAAATATTGACACTCACGGGCTCCTCCCGATTCTAACTAAGGACATTGTCCTACGTGCTCGTACCTCCTCCGGGAAGGAGCAATGCTGATCCGCGGCCGGACTCTCGACGTTTCGAAATCCACCGGGGACTTGTCTCTTTGAAGAAGATGCACGGGCCCGGGAAGGTGCAGTGTGCAGGCGTATGTAGGAAGAATATCCGGCAAATCGTCTCGACGCATGGCTTCGCGATTCCACTGTTCGATTACTCGAGTTGGGTAGAGGGTCAGCGTTAGAAAGTCAACGTCTACTCACGACGAGGAACCCGAGGGCAGCAACATAGATATCCCGACCTCTACAATGCGGTAAGCTGCGGCAAATACGCATTCACAATATGGACACCCCGTGCCACATCAATTTAAACCCACATTTCCGGACTGATTCCGAGGATTCAAGATATTCAGAATCCATGGATCTGAATCTCGAAAAGGAACTGGCAGCTGCCCTTTCATTAACGCTGATTAGGATTGGCACATAAGGGTGAGGACCCGGGCCATCGATCACATTCCGGGTCTACTGCTCAACTTAGGACCCGAGTGCGAGCCCAAGCCTCTCATCGACCTCCTTCGCCAATGGGATACTCTCCATCGCACCGCGTTTCTCGACGCACATTCCCGCGGCCTATACATATGCATCATGCATCCAGTCAAACACTCGGTCAGCGCTCGTCAAAGCAGAAAAAAAGATAAAGATTCGATGATTGAACCTCGATGAAAGAAACGAAGAAAGGAGGAAAAACGAAGAGTGTGTGCCTGTGTAAGTGAAAGAACAGCAGATTCAACATACCTGAACACATCTCTTCAACACCCCCTCCACCCCCTCCTTCGTCAACTCCCCCGTCCCGCTCCGTTCCCGAAGCTGCATCAACCCTGCTACCATATATCCCGTAAAACAGTCGCCCGCACCCGTCGTATCGACCGGTTTGCCGCCTTGTAGCTTAGCGGCGGGTAGAAAGATGATTTCTGGACTGGAGCGAGGGGAAGAGGCGGTGCGGACTAAAGCGAGGACGCCAGCAGAGCCGAGCGTGCATACGATATTGGTTTTCGGGATTCGAGACGCGAGTTGGAGGACTTTAGGATATGCTGTCAGTGCAGTGTAGGCCTTCCCGCCGTTACTAGCAAACCCACTCCCACCGACATCCGATACCGAGCCCGACGCATCCGAAGTCGCAGACGAGTCCGCCAGCACTCTATACAAATCGGAAGCCTCGCCCTCATTCACGATAAGCCATGTCAAGCCATCCCAAGGAAATGCGCGGAGTTCGTCGGCGGAAGGCATGGGCGAGGGGTTGAAGATGGTTGAGATGGGAGGGGAAGAGGAGGCAGCGAGGGAGAGGTAGCGAAGTGTTTCGGGGAGTGGGATCTCGTTTTGAAGGAGGATGTGGGTTGTGGAGGCGGGGAGAGGTTTGGATGGGATGGGTGCGAAGTTCGCCCCTTTGAACAGGACTGAATATATGGATATTTTGTGAGAGAAGTAATGGAGGATGTTAGAAGAGAATGACGCACTGATACTGTTCTCGCCATAATCCGCAAGCTGAATGATCGCTCTCCCAGTCGACTCCTACACATCCTCACTCAGCCCCTGAACACTTCCAACGACCGACAACTAAACAATAAAGCGCACCTTCGTGACTTCCACACTCTCCACATTCACGCCACTCTCCCTCAACAACTCCCTTACCCACGTTCCGTCCTCTCCCACAGCTCCGACGAGATCCGCCGACGCGCCAGCTTTCGCGACCGCGACGGCTTGGTTCGCGCCTTTTCCGCCTGCGCGTTTGGAGAGGCCGTGCGAGGAGATCGTCTCGCCGGGGCGTACGATGTCTTTTACTGAACGGGGTAGAAAGAATAAGAGTCATATTCATAAGAACTATGATGTTATGGAGAAAAATTGGGCTCATAGCGGACGTACCGTGGAAGAATTCGTCAACGTCTGGAATGCGACGCCACAGTTGAATCAGTGCTACTACAGAGACTAAAAGAAACGATATCGACTCACTTATAGAGCCACGAATAAGGCAGCGAGAGGGTTCGGGCATGGTAACAATATTCTAAGCACTCAAGACTGTAGTGAAGGATTTAGTGGAGGAGGAATGAAAGTCGGGTCGATCGTCAGTGTATAAATCCGACGGACCGAGTCGAGTTGGAATTTGACATTCCACGGTTGAAAAGCCATACATACCAGGATATCAGATTTGACCACATCCCTTTCATGCTGAAGGGATTCTGTACGATTCTATGCACACTTTCAGCAGATTAAACGGTCCATTTTTTGGCAAAGAAGAAAAGGAGGAGTGAAGGACGAAGGAGACGAGTTAGTATCCGACGTTGCGGTCACAGAGCTGGTGCCACACAGCTGTGGTCGGTTTCCCGGCTTTACCCGATGTGGCCCAAACATTTAACGTTGAACTTGCGACGTGCTCGGAGACAGATGAGGTCGACGCTGTAAAGCGTTGAGATCTCGTCTTTGCGACTAGCCCACATTAGATAGTATATAACATCCAACCATTCATTCACGAGAACCCAACGGTAACTGCTTTTGCCCCATTTCAAGTCCGACACAGTCCATCCAACGGCCCAATAAACCCAGAGAAAGAATAAGAAGTATCGTCATCCCATCCCATCGTCATCCCTCCTTAATCGCTTCAACCCCTCAAAAAACTCAAGCGGACACCCATTTACGCCCCTTCAAGCGCTCGACGTCGTGTTGTACGCAATCGCGGTCGACGCCGTGCACAACACCTACAATCATAATCGCATCACAACGCTCTTCAGCAAAATATTCCACCAGAACTTCTTTCCCAAAGCCATACAAAACGAGAAGGAGAACAAGAACAAGAAGAAACCGCACCTCGCCCGGATAGATATTCGAACAGTCCGCGTTCACATTCGGGTTATTCCCCACGAGCAGCGAAAACGCTATCCCAGCGCCATCAGCGATAGACGTGCATGTCTCGCCGGAGGAGACGACGTGGGTGGTCGTGCAGTCTTGGCCGGTGATTCCGAGGCAGAGAGGCTATATGCAGGAGATAGGTGTGGGATGTGGTTAGCAGAGGAGAAGGTAGGAGGTGGAGCGTTTGGTATATATGGTGGAAGGCTGACCTCGCCTAGAGCCAAATTCGAGCAATCCGCGTTAATGGTTGGGTTCGCGTTCGCGAGCTGGAACCTACGAGCCAATGATACGACGCAACCTGAATTAGCACAATTCCACATAGCTTGTGGACGGTCTTCCAGGAAGAAAAATACAGAAAATGCAAGGAATAGAGAGGGTCGGAGAAGGAGAGGGAACAGAAAGACGAAAGAAAGAAAGAAGAGAAAAAACGCACGTAGAAACATTCTGTGCTGCCGAAATCGAATCGCAGACATCGCCTAGACGAACCGTATAGTTCCTCGCACAGTCGGATTGGGCGTTCACTAATGCTCCAAAGAGCGCGAGAGGAAGAAGAGCGACGAGGGAGGCGAACATGGCTGGTTCCGGTGCTGGTGCTAGGAGGGCGAAAAGCTTGAATCGAGAGCAGAGAAGAGGATACCGGACTGCGAAGAGTACTGAGGAAGGAACACCAAATATCAGAGAGGTTTTATAGCCCTCAGAGCGACGGCACCGTTCACTATAATATGCAGCGTACCCATACCAGTCATTTGAGCGGGAAACGACTGATGTAATCGAATGAATGAGAGGTAATGAGTGCCTTGTTGCCTATGCCGTGAATCACGCATCAGAGCAAGTATCTTTGGCGCCAAACGATGCATCGTCTCCGGCGTAACTAACGCCGGTGAATGTACGAGTCAAAAATGGTTCATGGATCGTCTTGTTACATGCGACGCCAACGATGGACACTCGCAAGTGACTCCCATCAAAATGGGTCCCGTGTGTGTGACCAGCTGCACATCGTTCCCAGGCAAGTACAGGCGGAGAGGTCAACCCGTCGATGGAGAGAGGGAGGAGATTTGAGAGGATATCAAGCCCCGTGTTCATACGAAAGACTCGAAACGAGTTACACGAGGTCGGCATCAACAGAGCGGGCCCGACGCATCAGAGCAGACGGAGAAAGATTTGTGGGATGCGGGAAAGGTCTGAAGGGGTAAGTAAAGCGTGAAAGTGGAATTGAAGATCATGGACATCATTGATACGTACACCGTACAACCCTGACACGGGCAGTTAAGTGGTACAAAAGACCACGGCACATATATCATAGAGCTAACCCAGAGCATCAGTGCCATTTCCTGAGGGCCCAAAGTCTGATGTACTTTCGTTGCACAACACTAGTATGAAGGAACGTGACTCCTATGGGGTAGGAACGTGGAACGACTTGGCCCTGGATGCGTAAGGCAAGAACTCACAGGTGCACCAGCTTGAGACTCGAGGGCCAAGTTAAAAGAACGCGTCGGGTGACGGCCACTCGTCGCCGCCATCTTACGGCGCGATGGACGTGCGCACAAGGTGCGAGCTGCAAGCTCTTAAGGGAGTCATAGCAGAGTCGGGATGCCGTAACAGAAATGAAATGCGGGCGTCTGCATCGTCGAGGGAAGGCAAAAAAGCCTCTCAGAGCTCGAGGCTGGCTAGCTGGGGCCCCGCCGTGCGCGTCAGTCACTTACGACCGGGCGTGGTAGAGTCGCGTTTCAGAGTGAGTGGACGAGTGAACGCACGAAGAGAAGATGTTTGAAGGTCAGGAAGGGTCCTTATAGCCAAGCATTGTACGGTCGGAAACCAGTGAGATGACCGCCAAAAGACGGTGCAAAATGATGAAAGATGTACATCTCATTGTCATCGTGCACGAACGAAGCCAGCCGCAGGTGCTCCTCCACTCCGCTTCATCACGCCCAAATTCGCAGCTCTTCGTTCCCATCCTTGGGTCTTCTTTTTGTTGGCACTGGTACCCTTGAGGGATAAGGTACGGGAGAGGAACTTGTTGATTCGGGGAGGAGGGGCGAGAGTACCTGGTGTGTGTATGTCGGCGTGGGTGTGTGAGGATGGTGGTGGGAGAGTTCGGATCGTACGAGACCTGTTCAAAAGCATAGGGAGGGGAGAAAAAAAGAGAGGAATTCAGTTAGTGCGATTGAATATGAAGGTGGAGTGTGTGGCGACTAGGAGAAATATTGGGCCACACGATAAGAAGAGGGCTCACCCGAGGACAATATCTTTTGACAAGCTCTGCACACGTTTCCGTTTCTTGGATGCTTTAGAGGCTTTTGGTGCAGGTGGTTTTGAGGGAGTAGTAGTACTTGGAGGTTTCAAAGGTTTCGAAAAGGCAGCGGTGAAAATATGGTCGGGAAGGTATTTCGACCTTGGGTCTGAAGCGTCGTCGTCGTCGTCTTCCATGTCGTCCTCGCCCTCGTCGCCGTCCTCCTCATCTTCGTCTTCTCTTTCGTCATCGTCATCGAGTTCTTCCATATCCTCGTCCTCGTCCTCGTCCTCGTCGCTATCCTCGTCGCCCTCTTCACCGTCGTCCATACCGATATCCATCTCCTCATCGTCTTCGCCGCCCGCCTCCTCCATAGCCCTCGCCATCCGTGCCTCTAACCTCTTCTGCTCCTCATCCTCCTCTATTGCTTCATTTCCCTTCTTCCGTTTCCCTGTCTTGTCCTTTTTGCCTTCCTTACTCTCTATCGTCTCGTCAGCATCAATCGTCTTCGAAGATGCCTGCTCCTTCAACCACAAATCCCTCTGCCTATTCCTCTCCTTCTCCTTCTTCTTCTCTCCGGCGCGAAACGACTCGACCTCCTTGTCTTGCTTCCGTGCCGTCTTTTTGGACTGGGAGAGGGAGACGGCTTGGGGTGCGTCGGATTCCGAGTCTGACATGGTTCGTAGTATTTCTTTGAGAAATTTTAATGGGGGTAAATGATGACTGTGAGTATGAAAATATGAGGAAGTCCGTGCGCTGGTTTGTTCAGTCGAACGCGGTGCGTATTTTTTGGGCAAGTTTTTCGAGACGCGTCGATCCGGACCGCTGGTGGGCCGGAACCTGGATCAACAAATATCACCCAAGTCTGTCCAAGTGCCTCTCTTCCTCTCGTCGTCACAACATGTATACTTATGCTCAACATCATGATTCGAGAAAGCGTATAAGCTTGTTTCACCCTTTTCTTTCCATCTCTGACATTGTCTCACTTCACAGTAAGGGTGGCCAAGGCGATGCTTTTACTTCTTCGGACCGGTTCAACCTGCAGTTAAATTTCCGTCCTCGAGCCTGGCGCCCAACCTAGCCGTAGAAACAGCGGATCGAACACATGCAGTAAGACTAGGGAACCTGGCTACTCTGCTTGCTTTGCTCGTGTTTGAGCTCTCCACTGCGCTCGGGCGGCTTCATGGAATGGAAGGAAGGAAGGGCGCTGGTTCCGCCTAAGTTACATGCTCCTGGTGGTTATTCTCAAGGCCGGTGAACGCTCTCAATTACCCTCATTCTGTCGTTTCTACCTCGTCACTCATCGAATATACACTGCCGGCGTACCCCACTGTTTCCAGCTCAGCGCAACCATTTGCGTTCCATAATATCCCTGCGAACCTGACTAGTGCTATCTCTAAATCGAACGGTGACAACGCCGACTAACGCTATCGTTGCAGGTCATTTACAGGCTCCACATGCCCGTTAATATTCCTCCTCGGCCTACATTTGTACTTCTTTGTTTGGCGACGACACCAGCGGCCAGGCTTTGCGACACAGAAACTTTGTCATGCATCCACATCCGTCTCAGGACAGAATTTCGATCGAAGCTAGGCCTGTCCGTTTAATGCTTCGTTGGCATATCCACTGACAAACCCATATTTGGTGACCAATTCTGGATATCTACGAGTCCTGGATCCTCCAATCTGACCATGTTTTCCGAACTTCATGTCGGTTCTCAGGCCACAGACGCATTTGCGCCCGAATGTCGACACGCATACTCGTCACTCGAATCATCTAGGTCTCCAGCCCGTGCTGGTAGCGATATACTTTTCTCGTGTATGTTCTACTTTCGATCGTATGCAGGGTGTATACATTTCCTTAACGCTTCTCAGTTCACACTTTGGCGCGGTCTCTTACTACATTGAACTCACAGACGTCGCGTTTCAGTTCCCGCCATCCTGTCAACAAAACGAAGACCGTCATTCCCTGCGCGCCCCTCTACAACACATGGACATCCGTCCAACTGCACGCGGTTTGGAATTCCTCGACTCTCGTCTTCGTCATAAACTATACCCCTGTGCGCCGCCAGGGACATGGACATCTGACACAACGGCTGAAAGAGTGGTCGCGTGTGGCGCCACCGCGGAGAGCCTAAGGCCATGGCGTTCTCATCGTATAGCTAATATGGACTATACTTCGAATCTGTCTTTATCTCCTGTTTTTTTTGGGACAGTTCAGTCTTGTCAGTGGAAGCTTCCCTGTTCAAAGTCACCGCCCAAGCGCTGAAACAGTCTTCTCACAAGTCCCACGGCGCGCGGTTGGATCTTGCTCGCACGTTCAGTACCAGACCAGAATAGTTATCATGCTCCGCATCTTCGCCCATATTGGCCCGTCGTTGCTTTAGGGCGCCTGCATTTATGCTATATCTATCTTGAGCTGAGAAAGGCGTCCACGCGTATGCCTTGTGTCCGTCCCAAAGCCTCACTACCCTGCGCCCTCACTCGTATCCATCTCTCCCCCTCTACTCCTCTCACGAGCATCCCCCAAACAACTTCGCAATGTCTTCGAGCTCCCGTCCCTCTGTCTTCCGTAATCCCTTCAGTCGACGTCGTGGACGCGACCAAGAACAAAACTCAGCCTCCGAATCCGATCTGATTCCTCATCCAATCAGCCCGAGCACTACAAGGTAGACGACGGATATCTCGCCCAGTCCCTCCCAACGGTCTGTTTTCACTCTATCTCACCATGTCGACTTGTATAGCCATGGATTTTTCGAAAATGTTCGAGATATTTTTCATGGAAAAAACCGAAAACAGTTTGAAGTACCCAACCCAGCCCCCCGCCCAGAGACTCCCACGCTCGATATGGCACCATCGGTCCCTATCGACGCTCAGCTCACGATGCCCTCAGGTGCGTAGAGTCTGTCTGACTCAGTGGTCCGTACTGATCAGTCAATTCACAGTGGGTGCCGGTTCAAATTCCGACGACGTTCCCTTCAATGTGACCGCCAAAGATATCAATGCAGCACAAGCTCACTCTCGCGCCTCTCAGAGGGCGGCAAGTGTTTGCAAAGGCCTCGTCCATCTCGCGAAAAGGATTGAACCCCTCTTAGAAGGAACACCTTTCAAGTTCCCGGTCGCAGTCTTCACGGCAATTGCAGATGCTATTGAAGTACACCTCGTCATAATTGACAGCGCATTACATTCGTCAAACTAATTATCTATGCAGGACGTCAAGGTCATGAACGACAATGCCGATGAAATATTCGAAAACCTCAAACGCCGGCTCATCATCATAGAGCGGGCAATGGAGGAGACGGAGGATTTGGACTCTCTCACGAGGATTGACGCTTTTGTCAGGTGCCTCAATTTCGCCATGCTTGCGAGACTTTCGGGATCGAGGCTGATTTCTCTGACAGATTTTTGTTACTCAAGGCGCAATATGTGTATACAGTACAGCAGACGCCGCAGTGGAAGAAAACAATCGATATCGAGCATTACCATGAGAAGATCGAAGAAGCCGTGAAGGAACTTGGTCAAACGACGCAGGACTTTTCTGTACGTCAGCTCGGTAAAATCACATCAAAACTGCAATCTGATCCACCATCAGGTTGATATTTCCTTGGCCATCGAGCGGGACACAAAATTGATTCGCAAACTACTCCAGGTAAGTTCACTCACTCACGGCAGCTAAGTCAGTGCTTACCACTATCGCAGAGCATTGAACGCAAAGAGTGGCTCCGTGCGCCCACTGCCATGTACGACTCGGATACCTCAAAGGACACACCGAAGCGTGGTCCGTGCACAGAGGGCACGCGTGTCCAGGTCTTGGAGCGCATCCGAGCTTGGGCCATTGATAATTCTCCGTCGTCCCCCCCAATATTCTGGCTCAGCGGAATGGCGGGCACCGGGAAGTCCACCATCGCATATACCGTCTGTCGATCTTTTGACTGGGGCGGTATCCACCATATTCTGGGTGCCTCCTTCTTCTGTTCCCGCCAAGTCGAAGATCTGCGACGTCTGAGCAGCATCATACCTACTCTGGTATATCAGCTCGCACGGCATTCTTCATCGTTTGCAAAAGCTCTTTTCAACGTCAACCGGGATGATGTTCATGACTCAGCCAAACACATCAGTCACTTACTAGTCCAACCGTGGCGGTCATCGTTGAAAGACCGTCCTGACGATCGTCTTCCCACTCTCATCGTCATCGATGCTCTCGACGAGATCGTCGAAGATGGTGGCCCGAAATTGCTACGATCCCTTATTGAGATGATGGCAGAAGTAGGACCCAGCTACATGCATGGTCTCAAGATCCTCATAACGAGCCGTCCTCACCCTGACATAGTCTACAATGCCCAGTCGCTATCACGAGAGGCCACTTATCGTCTGGAAGATATCGATAGGGAAACTGACCGAGATGACGTTATGAAGTTCATTGTCGACAGTTTGCCAGAACTTTGGACCTCATATCGAAACGAACTTTACGGCCTTGCGGACCTCTCGAATGGCTTGTTCATCTATGCTGCCACTGTGATTCGTCTGATATCCCGTCGTGACTTTTCCACGAAGCAAAAGGCTGAGAGAATCTCTGTGATCCTGCGGGAGCAGAATACCCGCCCACTACGAGGCGAGACTCGCTTGCCCATTGATAATATCTATGCGGACATCCTCGACGAGTCCATCCGACTCAACCATCCAGACGAAATCAGCAGCTTCCGACTTACCGCTCTCCATGGCATCCTATGCGCTCTTCGACCCCTCTCCATCCTTGAACTCGCCGACGTTATATCAAAAGACTCTGATGACATTGATCCAGAAGCGGTTCGGCTGCTTGTCGACGATCTTCATGCCGTCACATACATCTCAAACGACCGCATATATACACACCACCAATCATTCCCCGACTACATGTTTGACGAGCAGCGCTGTGGCCCACATGTGACATGCCGACCGGGTGCTATTCATCCTGTCCTTGCTCAAGGGTGCTTTCGTATCATGAAACAATCCCTGCGGTTCAACATATGCAGTATCTCGTCATCCTACTGTTTTGATTCCGAGCTTGTGGATCTCCCTGAGTCCATTACCAGAAACATCACCAGTATCACAGCTCTGGAATATGCATGTCGGTATTGGCCATCACATCTCAAAAGCATACCGACCGAAAGCGAAAGCGCCCTTTACCTCCTCCACCAACTGCTGGCATTCAGTCGGTCAGAGAAGGTGCTGTTTTGGATCGAAGTCATGAATCTTCTTTCTATCAAGATGGAATGCTATAATGGAATGGGAGCGGTGATGGAATGGGTGACCCAGATGGTGAGCTCCTTCCTTCTCACAAATGAGAATGTCGCATTGATCATTTTGACGTAGCAGCAATTCGAAGCTATGCCTGAGCTGCAGCTTGCCTTGAAATCAGTATTCAGAGTTATCCGGTCATTTCTGCATACCCCTGCATCACTATCAACACCGCATCTGTACATCTCGAGTCTGGCGGCGGACCTTGCCTCGAATTCAGAGATGCCTAGGGAGTGGGGGGCGGGCTTTTCTGGTTTGCCACGCCTGCGCTTTGTCGGAGTCAGTAATCATGGCGGTGTTCTCATGCAAGTGGACGTCGGGGCTGCAGTGCAGTCCGTCGCATTCTCTGCTGATGGTCAACACATCGTCTCGGGTTCGAACAATGAAGTGGCGCGCATCTGGGACGCATCCACTGGGAAGGAATTGAAGAAGCTGGAGGGGCACACTGCATCCATCACCTCCGTCGCCTTCTCCATCGACGGTCAGCTCGTTGTCTCGGGCTCAGTGGACAAGTCGGTGCGCATCTGGAACGTTGCCACCGGGGAGGAGCTGCATAAATTTGAGTCGCACACTGACTCCGTCACCTCCGTCGCCATTTCTGCTGATTGCCAATGCGTAGTATCTGGCTCAGAAGACGAGTCGGTGCGCATCTGGAACGTATCCCCCCGGCCATCGCAGAAGCTGAAGAGACTGGAGGGACACGTTGGCCGTGTCACCTCTGTCACATTTTCCGCCGATGGCAATCACGTCGTATCGGGTTCGTCCGACAAGTTGGTACGCATCTGGGACATAACTACAGAGAACCAGCTACCAGTGAAGAAGCTGCACGGTCACACTCGCTATGTCACCTCCGTCGCTTTCTCCGCAGACGGCCAGCATGTCGTCTCGGGCTCGTATGATGAATCGGTGCGCATCTGGGATGCGTTCACCGGGATGGAGTTGCAGAGGCTAGAGGGCCACACTGGCTGTGTCACCTCCGTTACATTCTCTGCCGATAGCCAGTTCATCGCGTCGGGTTCGTCTGACAAGTCGGTGGCCATCTGGGACGTATCCATAGGGAAGGAACTGCAGAAATTGGAAGGCCACGCTGCCTCCGTCACCTCTGTCGCCTTTTCCGCTGATAGGCAGCGGGTTGTCTCGGGCTCAAGCGATGAGTCGGTGCGCATCTGGGATACATCTGCCGCAAGGGAACAGCAAAAACTGCAAGGCCACACTGACTCCATCACCTCCGTTGCCTTCGCCGCTGATGGCCAGCACATCATCTCTGGATCGTACGACAAGTCAGTACGCATCTGGGATGCATACACCGGGAAGGAGTTGCAGAAGCTGGGCCACACTGCCTCTGTTACTTCCGTCGCCTTCTCTCCCGACAATCGACATGTCATCTCTGGGTCATCTGATAAGTTGGTGCATATTTGGGATGTATCCACCGGGGAGCAGTTGCAGATGCTGGAGGGCCATACTGAACAGGTCAACTCTGTCGCCTTCTCCGCTGATAGCCAGCACATTGTATCGGGCTCGTCTGATCAATCGGTGCGCATATGGGATGCATTCACCGGAGAAGAGCTGCAAGTTCTGGAAGGCCATACTGCCTCTGTTACCTCCGTTACTTTCTCCACCGATGGCCACCTTGTCGCCTCTGGATCATCTGACAAGTTTGTGCGCATATGGGACATATCTACTGGGGAGGAGCTGAAGAGGCTGGAGGGGCACACTCAGTATGTCACCTCCACCGCCTTCTCTCCTGATGGCCAGCGTGTGGTCTCAGGCTCATCCGACAAGTCGGTGCGTATATGGGACGTATACACCGGGGATGAGCTGCAGATACTAGAGGGCCACACTGCCTCCATCACCTCGGTCGCATTCTCAGAGGACAGCCGGCACGTAATTTCTGGATCGGACGACAAGTCGGTGCGCCTCTGGGATGCACTCACCGGGAAGCAGCTGCGGATGCTCAAGGGACATACTGACCAGGTCACCTCCATTGCCTTTTCCACTGGAAGCCCGTACATTGTCTCGGGCTCATCCGACAAGTCGGTGCGCATCTGGGACACCTCGACCAGGAAGGAAACTCATGGCATAGAATGGAAGACAAACCCGGATGGCTGGCTCTTATCGACAAGATCCAAACAGCCTCTTGTTTGGATCCCGACTCATTTACACCCAGGCCTTTGCGACAAAGATACTCTCCTCATCATGTCTCAAAATCCTTATACCACAATCGACTTTTCATCAGCCTGTTTGGGGACCAATTGGATGAAATGTTATACTGAACGCGGCCAGAGTCGTGAAGTATAGGTGCTGCATATACATGTGTGGAGAATGAGCCTTGGCTGTCCATTTGTTTCCTTCCTTTCTTCTCTTTTCACACTTGTTATACTATCGAATGCCCGAGAGGCAGTCGACGATGTGTATGATATGCTCAGGCTGGTCATGGCTAGGACTCGGATGCAACACAATGCACTGAGAATGTGTTGAACCCTGTACTTAGTTGGAGATATACTTTCGTTCTTGCTTCAACTCTCTCGGTTTTGAAAGCGGGTTTCGGGTTTGAGGTTTCGGATTTTGGGTTTCGGTGGTCGATTTCTGGTGGCTTATTTCAGTATGTGAAATGCTGTTCTTAAGTACTTCGCCTCGTGCTACGTACCCTCCTTACTCGCCTGTGCGAACAAATCTGCAACGATGTTTATGTAGAGAGATCTTCCGACTTGCGCAAGAGTTCGTCTGAGAACGGCGAGGAGAATACATACAAGGACGGTGAAGTGGGATCAGAATGAGAGACCGGCTCATAAGTAAGATCTTACTCCTCCTAGAAGACTCACGCATCCCATATCATTACTCAAGCCTCCTGCGCGCCGTCCGTCAGCACGGCACTCTACGGTTGTAGACCAACAGACACAATGAATAGGGAGATGACATGATTACAATCGTGAAAAATACACAAGGAAAATGCAAAGGTCAAAGAGAAGAGATGTCTGGGAAACGGCTCACAGGCATTCCCGCATAATTCCTCGGGAGCCGTTCGTCCCTAATAGGGTTGTGCTCAAAATAAGATGTTGCTGGAAAAAAGTCAGACGCGATCGTCGCAACTGTTAGACATCGTGGTATTGTTAGACGCCGTGGTAAACAGCCGGTAGAGTCGCCGTTCCCGTCAACAATCGCCCAGGTCTCCACCCCAGTGCATCATCTTCAGTATCAACATATTTCTGTTCGCCACTGCGGCTCGGATCCTGAAAAATAATGCCATGTTAGTGGGTATAGGCAGTGCTGTCCGAGGTTCTTGTGCTTCGTGACCATAGCAGTGGTACCTAGTGAGAGTTGAGAGAGGGATGATGCAGTCCTGTAGCGTTCTGTGGAATACACAATGCGATCAAAACCCAATACAGTGTTCAGGCCGCGACGACAAAAAAGAAGACCGAAAGAGACAAAAGGAACTGCCCGCACACTCACACACGGCGAAGGAACGGAACAGGTGAGTAGAACCCAATCCCGATATCGGCTCGTATCTCAGCTCGCCATCGTTCGTTGCATCACCCACGAGTAGAACATAAAGTTTCATACCGAGTTTGGCGCGGAATATTTCATGGACGTGAGGATGGGGAGTCGTGGGTGTTCGTGAAGGTTTCTTGATTGAGCAAGAGGGAAGAGGGGAGGGTCAGAGACTGGGATGTGACATGATCACCTTACACGCTTGTTATTGACCCCTATTCACACAGATATTACGTATCGGGTGAGTCGAGCTAGTGATGGCTAAGTCTATCGATATACTGTAGTATTTCGATCAATTCGGCGGTCACGCGTCACAGGCCCTCCAAAATAGGCGCATGGCATAAGTATGCCTAGGGAGGTCCGATCCAAAATCGCTGGATTTCGCCCTTTTTGTCCGGTCCGATTTGGGAGCGGAATGTACGCACTCGGATCGGGTGCCCCGTTTTGGAGGACATTTGGTACGCATTTCGTATCGGACATCGCCCAGCATAGAGCTCGAACATATGTGTTTTATTTCTCATTATGTGCACACCTCGTCGGTGAGTGTTTGGAGGGGATCTCTCACGAGTCATTTTATCTCTTTTGTGCGCACTATGGGCTATGGTAAGATCGGACCTCGCTGTGAGTTCACCACTTTTGTCTCGTTTGGGATCGGACCTGGGGTCCTTCGGAGGCCGAAAATGTACGCACTATGATCAAACATGAGACCAGTTTTTGGCCCAAAATTGTCCGCACTAGGATTGGACCTCGCCCAGCATATGCCATGCACCTTCCAAAATTGACGAAATGTCACACCTGTAACAGGTCACAATCGCATCTGTCGAAACCATCGAGCGAAATACAGTCCCAAATAGGCAATTTTCGTCGATTTTCGTCGATTTGACGAAACCATCGAGTGAAAGGAGGCTGTCACACGTCACACAGCGTGCCGAATTGATCGAAATACTACAGTACTGCATAAGATAGTGAGATGGAATGAGGGAAGATACTTAGTGCAGGACGAGGGCGAGGACCCGCCTCATGTCGTTTATGACATACTTCTTCGTCAAAGGACTCGGGCTCGAGCTGAGAGAATTAAAAGAGTAACACCGTACTATGACTTGACCAACGGATTCAAGAGCAGCGCCGTAAATCCACTGCGACATGTTGGAGAACCTTTACTTCTCTCGAAACTTTGAAGGATATTCACGTATCCAGGCCAAAACTTCGTTGAATGCCGGTCCAGTCTCATCTGCGAGCTGTCTTGGTGCGGAGACGAAAGCGGAGTCTGTGAGCTAAGGGGCAACTTGGGACTTGGTCAGCCAAGTCCGGACGCGAAGCGAGAGGAGCCGCCGGGTGGGCGGGCAACTCGCGACGCAATTCGCATCCGCAGGATGCGAAACAGCATGTATTAGTCTCCCACAGGCAGACCTGGGTGTTGAAGATAGGGCGTTCAACATGTCAAGGTCTGCTACGGAACACACCCCCGAGACCGTAACAATATCGGTGTCAACACCGCAAAATGAAATTCGGCAGGAGATGCCGGCTGTGGCGAGCTGTGGCGATCCAAGTCGCAGCGGCTAACTTACATACTAGAGGTTTTATGATACGGGCGCTTCGACGACCTGGGGACAGAGTTTTATGCACCAGATGATGTAGCCTCTTTATAAAGAGTCCTTGTAGTAAGCTATTGGCTCTTTGCAAAGAGTCGACTGCCAAAATATTAATGGCTCTTTATAAAGAGCATGGGCTGGGGGATATTCTGGCTGGGAAAATGACCGGAAAAATGGGCGGAAAATGGCTGGAAAATGGCTGGAAAAATGGGTGGATGGGTAGGGGGTGGTAGGGGGTTGGGTAGGGGGTAGAATGGGGTAGGAAAATGGGGGGTAATTGTGCAGCAGGGATAGGATAGATGTATACAGGGTTCAGGGAGGATGTATGGGGCTAGGTATGGGCTCTGGGGCTAGGGTAGATAGATACATGGATAGGGATAGGATGGTGGACAATAAAAATACGGAAAAATAGGGAAATAATAGCAGGGATGTTGGGATTGATATACTGGGTACTGTAGGGGTGTATTAGTAGGGGAAATGGGGTGACCTGGGGGTGTTTTGGTAACTTTGTGAGTTTTGTGATTTAGAGTGAATGAATTGCAGGGGTAGGTGTTGTTTTGATGGAATTAGCTG